ATAGAAAAGATGAGAGACACAGGAAAAGAGAGTGATCATAAGGTGAAGATGGAGACAAAGATTGGCGGTAAGAAAGAGAGGCAGAGGTAGCGTAGTAATGTGAATTAGCTCCAGTGGATAAGGAGCTCTGTGCTGACTGCCAACTTTGCTAATCCTTCTCACATCTGGCTGGCAAAGACACTGTGTATACACTGCATGTATGTGGGAGTGCCATTGTAGAGCAGAGTGCGTGTGTGTATGTGCGAAAGTCTGCATATCAGCTCAGCTCATATGGCCATGCATGCTCATATATTCTGCGTGGGTGTGTGTATGTGATTGAATGCGTGTGTGTGCAAGTCCAAGTTGGAATATCTGGGAAAAAACAGAAAGGTTTTAAAGGCTTTTACTACAGGAACTACAGTATATGCCAAGTAAAGTTTAATTTAAGTCAAGTATCAGTATCAGAGTGCCTCGTGGGCTTTACAAAGATTAAATCAAATCATTATTTAATATGTCAACAATAATACCAAATCACAATAATACACATATTAGGCAGTAATCTATAAAGAATGGAAATTGGCAGTAACAGTTCACATACTGAATAAGGCTAGGTAGTGATAATAGGTTTGTACTATATTCCTTTTCAAGAGCTGGAAAACTATTCCAAATACAGCAGAAAGGCTGTTCTGTTATTTCTCTGAATTGTCAAGAGCTCTGCATTGTGGGTTCAGACAGGCTTCAGATGGTGCAAGTCTATGTAATGTTATGTCAGCTGGAGTGCCTTGAAATTGCAGCAAATGCAAGGAGGTCAGGACAGGGCTAATGTGGACATCTTTTTTTTAGTCCAGGTTCACATTCCAGCTGCTGCAATGTGGGCCAAGCTGCACTTGAACCAAAGCTACGTTTTGGTGAAGTCAGGGACAAGAGTGTTCGGATCAGATGGATGTTGCCAGTATTTTGCATTGTGAAGGTCAGCAGTCTTTGTAATGTTGATTATTTTCAAATTAAAGTATCAGGGATATTGCACTTGGATGTGTGTACTTTGTGCACTGTGTCTTTGCAGCCATTACTATACTCATTACTATAAAAGTTTATTCCTTTATGGCATGAATTTCACATAATTGTGGGAAGCCTGCTGGTTCTGAGAGGAATATACTAAACTAAAGGGATCTAGTGGAGCATGCTTGGTGGGCTGCTGAGCACCCAACTTGGCCTGCAGATTATAATAAAACCACTTTGGTCAGCTGCTGCTGTCATAAATATTAACGAGTTATGGGCAGTCCTACAAGTCTATCAGTGCTGTACTCGCTCATTCATCAGACCAACTCATCTGCAAATCCATCCCTGGCAAGACTCCGCGTTATCTGAGCTCACCAGTCCACATCTCCACCAGCTCCAGCAATTTTCCCCCTCTTGCTCTCCTCCTCCCCGAAGCTCACACCTCCTTTGGCTGTAACCCACTCCACTGTGCAGCTGCCAGCGACTGCAATGAGTTCCAAAATCCCTAAAATTGATCTTTTCATCCCAGCCATATCCTTTAAAAATAGGCTAGTCAAAACACTTTCTGGTTCCTGCACCTGCTGCTTTTCTTAGAATTCTAAACCATGCAGGCCTTTTCTTTCTCTATGTCATGTGCTTTAATCGTCCCTCACTTCCTTTAATGTACACTCTACTGTACAATACTAGTTTGGAT